CTTTGTAGGACTAACAAATTAGCCAAAAGATTGATTCTGACCCTCTCCAAATTGCACCTGGGGATAACATCACTATTGTAAGGCCTAAGATCGGTGCTTGAGATATTTTGCAGACCCTGCACTTGATGGATCAGCGGGCACCACCCAGATCAATAAACTGGCTCATCTGCTCTTGTGGCTCCCAGCCAGGAGCTGACTCAGCACAAGAAGACAGCATTGACTCCCTGTGATTTCATTTCTGACCTGACCAATCAGTATTCCTGACTCACTGGCACCCCATACCCACCAAATTATCCTTAAAAATTGATTCAGGCCAGGTGAAGTGGCTCATGCCTATAATCCCAGCACTTTGGGAGGCTGAGGCAGGTGGAACACTTGAGATCAGGAGTTCGAGACCAGCCTGGCCAGCATAGTGAAACCCCATCTCTACTAAAATTACAAAAAATTAGCTGTGCGTACTGGCGGGCGCCTGAAAACCTAGCTACTCAGGAGGCTAAGCCAGAGAATCACTTGAACCCCTGGGAGGTGGAGGTTGCCGCGAGCTGACATCGCGCCATTGCACCCCAGCCTGGGCAAAGAGTAAAACTCCATCTCAAAAAACAAAATAAAACAAAACAAAACAAAACAAAAACCTGATTCCTGGCTAGCATGGTGGCTCATGCCTGTAATTCCAGCACTTTGGAAAGCCAAGGTGGGCAGATCACTTGAGGTCAGGAGTTCAAGACCAGCCTGGAGGTATGGTGAAACCTCATCTCTACTAAAAACACAAAAATTAGCTGAGTGTGGTGGCACACGTTTGTAGTCCCAGGTGCTTGGGAGGCTGAGGCAGGAGAATCGTGAACCCAGGAGGTGGAGGTTGAAGTGAACTGAGATTGCACTACTGAACTCCAAAAAAAAAAAAAAAAAAAAGGAAGGAGGGAGGGAGGAAGGAAAAGGAAAGGAAAGGAAAGAAGGAAAGAGAACAGAGCCTTAGATTTTGAGAGGGATCTATCTACTTTTAATTCCTGGGGTTCCATGAAGAAAACAGAGATTTTTCCCAAAACAGGTTCTGTGGCACCTCCTCTGTTTTTCCCAAAGAGTCTCAGCCTATTAGAAGCTATCTTAGAGCCTCTCATGTGTGCACTGAGTGGCAAGACAAAATGTAGAAAAATAATTCAGTTGACTGAGAAGAAAAAACTTTTTTTCCAGAAAAACAAGATCCAAGATGAAAAAAACATAAAGGCCTTTTAAATATACCTATTGCCTGGATACCCATTTCTTTTTTGAGATGGAGTCTCACTCTGTCACCCAGGCTGGAGTGCAGTGGTGCAGTCTCAGCTCACTGCAGCCTCTGCCTCCCAGGTTCAAGCGATTCTCTTGCCTCAACCTCCCGAGTAGCTGGGACCACAGGCCTGCACCACCGTGCCTGACTAATTTTTGTATTTTTAGTGGAGACGGGTTTCACAATGTTGCCCAGGCTGGTCTTGAACTTTTGGGCTCATGTGATCCTCCTGCCTCAGCCTCCCAAAGTGCTGAGATTATAGCCATGAGCCACTGCTCCTGGCAGATATCCACTTTTAATTAAACTGACTTTTAACCATAGTGCTCTTGTTTTTGCTTTTGTTTTGAGATGGAGTTTCACTCTGTCACCAGGCTGGAGTGCAGTGGCACTATCTAGGCTCACTGCAACCTCCACCTCCAAGATTCAAGCAATTCTCCTGCCTCAGCCTCCCGAGTAGCTGGGATTACAGGCATGTGCCACCACGCCCGGGTAATTTTTATATTTTTAGTAGAGACAGGGTTTCACTATGTTGGCCAGGTTGGTCTTGATTTCTTGACCTCGTGATCTGCGCACCTCAGCCTCCCAAAGTGCTGGGATTACAGACGTGAGCCACTGCACCTGGCCACCATAGTGCTTTTTAAAAAATCCTTTTAAATCTCTTATTACCTGACTTTAGCCATGCCAAGTGGCCAATATTTCTGGCTTTTGAACTTTACCGAAGGTAACCTCCCAGGTGTTTAGAAAAAGGAAAATTCAAGAAGGGAACCCAGAAATTGTTCGTGGAGGGGAAGAGAATTAATAAATGATAAAGGTCACACAGACCGGGTGCAAGGGCTCACGCCTGTAATCCCAACACTTTGGGAGGCAAAGGTGGGCAGATCACAAGGTTAGGAGTTCAAGACCAGTCTGGCCAACATGGTGAAACCCCACCTCTGCTAAAAATACCAAAAAAAAATCAGCCAGACGTGGTGGCGGGCACCTGTAATCCCAGCTACTTAGGAGGCTGCAGCAGGAGAATCATTTGAATCCAGGAGGTGGAGGTTACAGTGAGCCGAGACTGTGCCACTGCACTCTAGCCTGGGTGATAGAGCGAGATTCTGTCTCAAAAAAAAGAAAAAAGAAACAACAACAAAAAAAGGCACACAAATATCACCCAGAAAGTATTCATACCCTAAACCAGGAATTGAACTCAGGCCACCATTGTAAAACGACAAAGCCTTAGCTGCTCACCTACAGCACTGAGTAGTTTCTGTTGCTTTTCCAAGGAATCTAGGTAGTTAATATTGAGCTTCAAAGGCTTTTAACTACTGAAGATTTTTAGAGCTAACAGTGACACGAACCCCAAAATTCCCGTTTCCTGGAAGGTGGAGATCAAGATAAAGCACTGCCATATAATTACAAGGTCAAGTTCCTAAGGACATAAAACAAGATGGAGACCTCATCCAGTTTTTCTGTTTTGTTTTTGTTTTTTTCTTCAGAGACTTGAAGCAAAATTTGGAACTGACTAGTTTGCTGGGCTGGCTTGAACAGCAGGCTTATGGGGGACCTAAGCTTTTATTCTATCCTAAGGTACTTCTCTTTATGACAGACCCATACAGAAAGACACACAAAGCCAACCAGATTCGTTACAGCTTAAGAATAGCCTTAGAATCCTTTGTTGCATTAAGAAAAACTTTACAGAGGATATAAACAGTGATTGTTATCATTCATTCAACTGGTTTGCACAGAGAGACAGTCTGATTGGTAAGAAATCCTTTCACTTTTCCTGGCATGTCAGGCTTCTGGGTTCCCTTTCCATGAACTGTTCTAATAACCTGGCTCACCGCACTACAGCCCTGGGGACCAAGTTGCAACACAAAGGGAAATTATCTTTTTCCACTATGGCAAGAGCAAAATAACGTGATGAAACATTGACATTAGCTACTCTGCTTAGCACCCAATATCAAACTGGCAAGACTCAAACTTGCCCCATGATGGACCCTGTCACCTTTAAACATTTTCAGAAGCTTCTACATATTAATAGGCATCGCTAGATGAGACTAATTTGGGAGCCCTCATTTTTGAATGCACTTCAGTGCATTGTTGTTCATTTTAAGTTATGTTTAGTAAGATCTTGCCATTTCTGTAAGGTTTCACTGCTTCCCAGGCCTAACACTTAACCATGCATAAGCTGGAAGAGACTCAGTCCTCCAGAAATCAAGGATCCCATGTTTACCTAAGATATTGGCTTTGCTCTCAGTTTCCCTTGATCAACTTAGTCAATGATTTTTTTCCTACCTAAGCAAGCAGGAAAAATGAAATCAAAGGGAGGGGCTGGGCACAGTGGCTCACACCTGTAATCCCAGCATTTTGGGAGGCTGAGGTGGGTGGATCATGAGGTCAGGAGCTCGAAACCAGCCTGGCCAACATGGCGAAACCCTATCTCTATTAAAAATACAGAAAATAGCCAGGTGTGGTGGTGGGCGCCTGTAATCTCAGCTACTCAGGAGGCTGAGGCAGGAGACTCACTTGAACCCGGGAGGCAGAGGTTGCAGTAAGCCGAGATGGCACCATTGCACTCCAGCCTGGGCGACACAGCAAGACTCTGACTCAACATAACAAAACAATAAAAAAAGAAATAAAAGGGAGGAACACAAACAATCCCTGTGAATTTTCAAAAGCCAAATTTTATAACCCCTAAAATATCACCATGTACTACCAGTTTCTTTCTGGCCTAGTCAGATGTAAGAAGGCTCTAACTGGATCCAAGCCAGTTAATAACTGGATCAAATTCGATCCTGGACCCAGTCCAATGTCTATCGCAACTTCCAAACACAGTTTGGAACAGAAGTTATCTCAAAGAAACTCACAGAGCTGGCTGGGCACTGTGGCTCATGCCTGTAATCCCAGAACTTTGGGAGGCCAAGGCGGGTGGATCACCTGAAGGTCAGGAGTTTGAGACCAGGCTGGCCAACATGGAGAAACCCCATCTCTACTAAAAATACAAAAAATTAGCCAGGCGTGGTGGCGGGTGTCTGTAATCCCAGCTACTCGGGAGGCTGAGGCAGAAGAATCGCTTGAACCCAGGAGGTGGAGGTTGCAATGAGTAGAGATTATGCCATGCCACTGCACACCAGCCTGGGCAAACAAGAGTGAAACTTCGTCTCAAAGAAAAAAAAAAAAAAAAGTTGGGGGTGGCCACAAGATCACATGAGCCAGTTTATCCATCTGGTGGTGGCAGCTGATCCATCAGGTGCAAGGGCCGATCTTAGGTGCAGTTTAGGGAGGGTCAGAATCTTGAAGCCTCCAGCTGTAATTTCTAATCTAAACCATAATTTCTAAAATCTTGTAGCTAATGTGTTAGTCCTACAAAGGCAGTCCAGACCCCAAGCAAGAAGGAAATTTGTTTTGGGAAAAGGCTGTCATCATTTGTTTTAAACTTTAAACTATAAACTAAGTTCCTCTCAAAGTATGCCCAGGAATGCACAAGGACAGCTTGGAGGTTAGAAACAACATGGATTTGGATAGGTCGCTTTCAGTGTCTCAACTATAATTTTGCAATGGCGGTTTCACTGTGACAACCTTGAGGTAGAGAGTCCCACAGAACTCTCGGTTATTTGAAGCCCAGAACCTCAGAAATGGCGAGGAAGAGAGGGAGGGCCGTCCCGCGGTCAAACAACTCGGTCTTAGCCGACCTCCGACGCTTTTCCTAGAATGTCTCATCTCTATGGTTGACGGGGCTCAGGTTCCTGGCCGACTGTTGTTCTTCCGGGGTAACTTCCTTTTCCGGGGCGGGCGGCGCTGTGCGTGTATTGCTGTGCCCCAACTCCCTCAGGGCCTGTGTTGCGGGATTCCCTGCTGCTATGAGCTTCCTCAAAAGTTTCCCGCCGCCTGGGCCGGCGGAGGGGCTCCTGCGGCAGCAGCCAGACACCGAGGCTGTGCTGAACGGGAAGGGCCTTGGCACCGGTACCCTTTACATCGCTGAGAGGTAGGGTTCCTGGTCCTCAGCGCCGGCCTCCTCCTCGCTGGCGCAGGAGGTGCGAAGGAGCCAGGCGAGGGGCGACCTAGTGGGCTGTTGGGAGCGGGGGCGCGTGCCTGGGACGCCTCATGGATACCTGTACTGGGTGGAAGACTCGGTTTTTCTGGCGCTCCTCCGGAGTCTTCCATTCTGTTTTCTCCGGCCGTAATTTCCCCTCATGGGTTGTGCTGCTTTTCTTTTTGCTGTTAACTCTCCTGTTTACGGGAGGTCTGGCGCCTGCGTTGCCCTTCACGCACGGTCTCGTTTTAAGGGTCTGAAGTGTGCCTGTCTTTCGGATGAACAGATGCAGGAAGTGGTCCCTTCTGCGGGATATGTAGTTTCAGAGCAGATTGTGGAGGACTTTGAAACTTTGGATACTACACAATATAGATTTTCTTCTGTAGGTATACTAAGGAGGAACACCTCTTCACCCGACACAGACAGGGGTCATATGCAGAGGGACTAGTCTCCCGTTTTGGGGTCCTGGAAGGAATTGCCCTTTTATTTGACCACCTGGAGCACTTTTGTATTTTCACAGTCAGATAGATCCTCCTTAAATACTGTAGTTGTAGAACTGAGGTCTCTGTTTTTGACTTGTAGTCCTCTTTATTTTGAAGTATGTAATGACACATTGAATCCTTCCTGTCCTTCAGATACCTGTTGCTTCCCCTTTTGCTCCATCACTTGTCTACAGGCAGAGAAAATTCTCTACTTTTAAGTGCTCATATAATTACTTTGGGACCACTTATAAAATCCAGGATAAAATCTACCAATGTTACTGTCAACTGATAAGCTGAATTACGTTTGCGAAGTCCCTTTTGCTATGTAATATAACATAGTCACAGGCGTGACACCAGAAAGTGAAGGTCGTGGGGCCAAAATTCTGCCTCCCAGAGAATCCAGACTACAAAAACTGTAAAGAACTGTTGCTTTAAAGGGAAATTTAGGCATTGATCAAGGCTTAGGCTTCAGGCCAGTCATTGAGGTAAGACATAAGGATGGGAGGAAAAGCAAGATTGATGTGATAAGCAGATAATGAGTTTGGTCAGGACATGTGTGGAATAGTTGTACACATGAGTGTGTTTTGGGCCGGGTGTGGTGGGTCATACCGGTAATCCCACCATTTTGGGAAGCTGAGGCGAGTGGATCGCTTTAGCCCAGCAGTTTGAGATCAGCCTGGGCAACATGGTGAAACTCAGTCTCTGCAAGAACTAGCCAGGCATGGTGGTGGCCTGTAGTTCTAGCTACTCAGGAAACTGAGGTGGAAGGATCATCTGAGCCCAGGAGGTGGAGGCTGCCGTGGGCGTTATTGTGCTCTGCAGTCCAGCCTGCATAACAGTGAGACCCTGTCAAAAAAACAAAAACATATGTCTTGGGAAAGTGATATTAAAGAGAGATGTTTGGGAGTCGTTAGAGAAAGTATTAGCGTATACTCATGGAAATGGATTGGTATCCCAGAAGAGAAGAGGACCAAGTGTAGAATCCTCGGGATACACCTGTATTAAGAGGTGGGTCACAGAAGAAGAAGGGACTTGAGAAAGTAGGAAGGAGCAGTCAGAAACAAAATCTGGAGTCTATATTGAGTATTGATAAGGAAATCTTTGATAATTGGGGAAAGCAGTTTCTTATAAGTGGTGAAAGATGGGGCACAGATACATTTTTAGTTCCAGGCATTCCTTTTTTATTCATGACATTTAAGTATATTGACACTTCTTTCAATATTATAACTCCTTTTGAGGAGCAGTCCTGTATTTCTTTTTGCATTTTGAAAAATTTCAAACCTAGCTGGGCACAGTGGCTCATGCCTGTAATCCCAGCACTTTGGGAGGCTGAGGCGTGCGGATCACAAGGTCAGGAGATGGAGATCATCCTGGCTAACACAGTGAAACCCCGTCTCTAAAAAAAAAAAAAAAAAAGAAATTTCAAACCTAAGGCTGGGTGCAGTGGCTCATGGCTGTAATCCCAGCACTTTGGGAGGCTGACGGGTGGGGTGGATCACCTGAGGACAGGAGTTCAAGACCAGCCTGGCCAACATGGTGAAACCGCATCTCTACTAAAAATACAAAAATTAGCAGGGTGTGGTGGCGTGTGCCTGTAATCCCAACTACTTGGGAGGCTGAGGCAGGAGAATCGCTTGAACCCAGGAGGCAGAGGTTGCAGTGAGCCAAGATTGTGCCATTGCACTTCTTCCTGGCTGACAATGAGACTCTGTCTCAAAAAAAAAAATTTCAAATCTAATTAACATTTTGCCACATTTATGTCTCTCTCTCTTTTTTTTTTTCTGAGCCATTTGAGAATTGCAGACCTGTTTTCCATTTCCTGTATCTCAGAAGAACGGGAACATTCTCTTGTATAACCACAATACAATTCTCACACTAAGGAAGTATAACTCATTTCAAGTTTTTATCTGTTTTTAAAAAATTCTTAGGCTGGGCAAGGTGTCTCATGCCTGCAATCCCAGCACTTTGAGAGGCCAAGATGAGCAGATAGCTTGAGCCTAGGAGTTCTTGACCAGCCTGGGCAACATGGCAAAACCCCGTCTCTACAAAGAATACAAAAAAAATGCAGAAATTAGCCAGTCATGGTGGTGTGTGCCTGTAGTCCCAGGTACTCTGGGGGTGGTGAGGTGGGAGGATTACTTGAGCCTGGGAAGGTGAGGCTTCCGTGAGCTGTGATCATGCCATTGCACTCCAGCCTGGGTGACAGTGAGACCTTATCTCTTAAAAAAATAAAAAATTCTTTATTTCAGCTTTTCACAAACAAATCTCTTATGTTTCTTCTTTAAGATTTTTTTTTATTTGTGAAACATAAATAGAAAAAGAAGAGTGTAAATACATACACATACTATATGCACATAATACACATACACACAAACAGTCCGGTAGTTCTTCAACTGAGGGAATGAGGGAGAATGTCCAGAGGGAAAGCTGGAGAAGGAGAGAGCCATGTTCATGAGTTTGGCTTATAGCTTTTAGGCTTCGGTGAAACTATATTAGTTTGAGGCAGAGAGGGACAGAACAGATTAGGTTTTGAGTGGACTTGGTTTTAGTCTCTCAGGTTTGTGTTGAAAGATTTAGAATCTCCAGCTTATTTCAGAGCTTAGTTTTTATAGGAAGTTGAATTTTTATCCAAATAAGGAAGAACAGAGGCATAAATAATATAAAATACACAGTTTAAAACAGGTAAAATAAAATAGGTGATCAAATTAAAATTAGGTAATTTAAACTTAGAAATAATGTGGTTTTTTTGGTATCTCATTCTAAAATTAATTTTAAACCAAATAATTAAGTTAACCCAAATTTAAGACCTCTCTTAACCTCCTGTCCTGTTTTTCATCCCATGCTGGGTGTAAAGGACACTGACCATACTTGTACAAAAGCATTTGAATTTAGCAAAACATTTTTTCTATATGTTTACTTGCTTTCTAATTTTTCTGGTCCTTCCGTTTAAAAACATATACCCAGTTCAAAAGAAACTCATGGTTTCTTTGGCTCACTGCAACTTCTGCCTCCCAGGTTTAAGTGATTCTCCTGCCTTAGCCTCTGGAGTAGCTGGGATTACAGATTACAAAGAAACTCATGGTTTCTTTGGCACTGAGTATGGTTAATTAGATATTTTTTAAGGATTTATTCTAGAATATATACAAAGAGTAAATGAAAATCAGAATTTAATGATCAGACAAAACAGTTACATTTTTAGATGGTACCGTGAAATCTTTATGTTTCTCTATAGCACCTTAAAAGTTAGAACTTGAATACTTTGAGTAGATTTTTTACAATCTCATCCCAGCAAACTTTAATGGTCGCATGTCTGGCCTATTTCATTGTGGCCTCTGCTAGAAAACCTAGTGTTACAACAAAGAATTGACGTGCAGTAGGATTTAATTTGTTGTTAATAGGTATTCGTTTAAATTAAAATTGCTCAATTAAATGAATGTACCGTCAGTTCTCTTTTTTCTTTAATTTTTTTTTAGTTGGAGTCTTGCTCTGTTGTCCAAGGCCGGAGTGCAGTGGCATGATCTCAGTTCTCTGCAGCCTCTGCCTCCTGAGTTCAAGTGATTCTCTCCTGCCTCAGCCTCCTGAGTAGCTGGGATTACAGGTGCCTGCCACCATGCCCAGCTAATTTTTGTATTTTTAGGAGAGATGGGTTTCGCCATGTTGGCAGGCTGGTCTTGAATTCTGGACCTCAGGTAATTGATCCACCCACCTTGGCCTCCCAAAGTGTCCATGCCTGGCTTATACTGTCAAATCTTTTAACATAGTAACATGCTGTTGGAAAAAATAAGTTGTTTTCCCATTTGAAAATATCTGTGAATATTAGTATATGATTTGCATGTGTAAATTTGAAAAAGTAAAATACAGAAACCTAGGGGTTTCTTTTCTTTTTTTATTTTAAAAAATTTAATGATTAGAGTAAGTGTTTTTAAGTGTGGAACTTGGCTTTGTCCTGTAGAATGCATAATCCCAGTTCATGTAAAAGATTATAAGAGCACCACAGCAAATGCTGTGCAGAGGAGCATTTGTATTCTGTCTGCATTAGTAAGGAACTACAGAGTTATTATTACAGCTTTTTTTTTTTGATTGGAATTTCTCTCTTTTTTGCCCAGGCTGGAGTGCAATGGCGAGATCTCGGCTCACTGCAACTTCTGCCTCCCGGGCTCCAGTGATTAACCTGCCTCAGCCTTTGGAGTAGCTGGGATTACAGGCATAAGCCACCACACCCAGCTAATTTTGTATTTTTAGTAGAGACAGGGTTTCACCATGTTGAACTCCTGACCTCAGGTGATCCGCCCACCTCAGCCTCCCAAAGTGCTGGTATTACAGGCATGAGCCACTGTGCCCGGCTTTATTGAAAAGTAAAGGCCATAATTTGATAGGCACTGATTCTATGTTTAGGTTTCAGTTTTTCCATGTCCTCACTGAGTCAAGTTTTATGGCTCTGTTTATTTGAAATTATTTTAGACACCCAAA